CACAGGGGTCTGCGAGGGCGAAAGTGCAATGCGCGGGGCTCACTATGGGGGTTCCGCCTTGATGATCGCGAGACGCCCCCAGCCAGGTAAGTTTATGAGCCGTTGCCGTGTGTCAGGGCCCCGCTGCCCGCTCCGTACTCTTCGCTGTCCATATCTACGCGGCCCCTCTTGTTGCGCGAGACGCACACGCGAGGCTGTCCGACAGACTGCGAAGTAATCGCGAGACTCGGCATCAGCTGAGCAAAGTCGTCTATTGATGGAAACCCCAAACGTTTATTTCACTCCGGTGAGAAGTTTCCAGCACTCGATGACTTCCTGTCGAGAGCATTTTTGTGTTCAGTGTGGGGCCAATCACTCAAACGGAGGCGTAATTCATTCACTTTTCAGACTTTCTTAAACTTTGTTCAGTCGAAAAAAAAAAGACCTCCTGGAAGATAAGGAATCGATCGCCGAATTCTGCAAGACTTTTTCTACCAAGTATTAGCGTAATGTCAGTAAGGACACAGTATGTAGCCAGCAACTTCTGAGAAAGAAGTTCGCAACGAGTCAGTAGATCTATGAATTCCACTCCAATTTTCCATTTTCAACAATAGAAAGCCCAGGGTTGAAATTATGGAAATTTTGGAAACTTCCTCTGCTTGTGATACCTGCAATTCTAGTCTGTTCATCACTTCGTGGAACTCGATCAAATTCATACAATAAGCGACTCCTTCAAAGTGCCTCGAACTTGGGTAACTGAACCGAGAGAACTCATGTAAGAATCAGCTTCCTAAGGGTAGTCCTAACTGAGCTGAGGCTGCAGGAGCCAAACGAACCATATCTCCTGATCCTAATTCGACAAGTGTGCGCTGTATATGCCCGACTTTGCAGGCTGGATATCCCCTATTTCCGTCCCTAATTATCTCCTTGAAAAAAATTTCAAGAAAGTGCGGACTGGGTGGCATCATTCAAAAGGTGTCCCTTTTCTTGTGTAGGGGATGGATAAGAACCTCGATATTACAGTAGATACATTTTGTATGGATGCGTTGTACTACGGCCTTCAAAATAAATTTTGCTTCATGCAAAACGCACACGCTTAGTTTTGGAATGTAATGATTAGTGAGATAGGGACGCAGCAGATTCATTCTAGCAATATTATTGTTCATCTTCTTCTTTTTCAAATCACCTCGTGCTCAACCTGCGCCGAATTTTATGGAGTAAAATTCAGTGCACCTTTAGATCCTTCAAGGAATCCAAACAGAGTTGCAACGCCTTTTCAACGGAAATGTCGCATCACACTGTTGCTCGATTCCCCACTGATCATCAGAAGGCAACGTTGTTCAGACAAATGCCTCATGCGCATCGGTTCAACGCCATTGACGCCCGTCTGATAGCCTCGCTCCCTCGGAACGACAGGGGCCGCGTAGATACGGGCAGCGAAGAGTACGGAGCGGGGAGCAGGGCCCTGACGCACGAGGACGACTCATAAACTTACCTGGCTGGGGGCGTCTCGCGATCATCAAGGCGGAACCCCCATGGTGAGGCCCGCGCATTGCACTTTCGCCCGGGCTGACCCGTGTGGCAGTCTCGAACTGAGATTCGCCAACAGCTAAATTTTTGTGTGTGGGGCTGCGTACGCGCGGCCCTGACAAGAAATGAGAGCACGGACGCGAGCTATGCTGTCGTGCTCTGCCGAATAGGTTCCACCAGTAAGTTATTACTCCAAATAATACCTTACTGGAAGTTTTGTTCGCAAAACGAAAAAGTGGGATCTCCGCCAAATAGAAGCTGATTATAAAACTGGTAATAAATTTATATAACTGACAGTGAGTGCATAAAAGCTCAGCCATCCTGTCCATCCCTAATTTCTCGTTAGAGAACTTGGGCCGCATGCATCCCTGGGATTACCCGGGCTAAACGTGGTAACACATCAACCTTTATCCAACGTTTACACAGGCGTCAACACATTCACCTTGGGTAATCTTAATGATGCATCCAAGCCTTGGCTCGAGGGTATCACAACATTTTCTAGTGTATCCACTGCATTTTCCGACGTCCACCTTCGCCCACAAACACACCTCGTGATACACAAGTGGCACCGCAAAAATATTCAAGATCGCTGTTCACTGTTTTCCCCGTTCGAACTTGTTCCTCCCTCGGGAGGTGGGCGGACCCCAGCAGCGGTGCAACGCTGGGCCGAACCG